CAAAGCACATACAACTACGGATCACAGTCCGAGAATACACACAACACGTCGCCTCCCTTTTCGCAGACGGGCCATGGCTTTAAACTGCAATACCAATCGAGGTGGAATATAACATTATATCAAGTGTATATTGCAAACCCGCAGATACACAGAGTATAATAGATAAGTCGATATAGGTATATTGTATACTGACCCAGGTAATAGTGAGATCTTATGTTAAGTGAGTGTGGAGTGTTGGGTAAGGATAGCACATGATGGTGTGTATGTTATGATTTGTGTGTCCATATCAGGAGCCTGTGAGCTACGTGAGATAAGTCACACCTGTATGAGAGTAAATGCTCTATTTTGTTGGGGATAAATGAATAATGAGGGCATATAAAAAGGTGTGAGATAAAGAGAAGACAGAAAGGAGAATTGTTAGAGAAAAGAAATGTAGAGTGAGGTAGTGGGGGGGGGGGGGGGGTATGAGAAAAAGAAAAAAAAAAGGGGGGTGGGTAAGGGGTATGTAGAATGGGCAATTGCAGATAAAATAGATCACATCATTTTGTACGAGCCGAGCCAGAAAGATAGTCATATAGCTTAGGATGCGATACGTGTAAGATCAGTCAATGGGGCAAACACGTGGGTTAAAAAACCAGGAAGGCAAGCCATGATGCAGAGTCTCAGCTCATCCAAATGTGCATCAAATGCGTCTTCGGTGAACAGGGCGTTCCCTAGTACAGGATTGTGTCCAATCATTCAGTCGGGGGGTATAGGCTGTTCATGCACTAATAGGTGATAGGTAGTGGTGGTTTTGAAATGATTCCAACAAGCCCATGTCTTCCCGAATCTCTCAGGATGTTTCTTTGCTACAGAAATCAGTTCCTCCATTTGTTGATCCTAGCAAACCATTCTTGGATAGTGGGAACATGTGTTGAGCTCCAGTGGACTGGGATACATTGTTTTGCTGCGTTTACCATATGCATGGCGAGTGATTTACGGTACATCCTAAATGGAAGTGTGGAATGGTGGAGCAAGAATTGTGCGGGGGAGAGGTCTAGGGTATACGTAGTTACTTGTGTGATTGTGGATTGGACTTTCCCCCAGACAGGCTGTAGCAATGGGCATATAAATTTTAAATACATTTCTTAGGAACCTTTCACACTGAGGTGGTGTGGTCTGTCTGCACCGCGGCTGTAGAGTAGTGTACTCGCGTGTTTGGCGTAGGTTAGGCGTGCTTTCCAATAGAGTTCTATTATATCCTGTGGCTTTGGTGTGCTTTCTGGAAGCGCACCAAAGATGCAGCATGCAGGACTGTTAGCTATTGGCTGTTAGCTGCCAAAGGGACGACATCAGAAATCATATCCTCAGCACTGGACACCTAGCTGAGAGATGTTATTATACAGATTATGGGTTAGAAGATGTTAAACCAAACCACTTTCCTCATTGTGTGGTAGAACCCCCTGGTATATTTTTCATTATATTTTTTCTGTTTTTTTTCCACCCTAAATTTGGTAATGAAAATCATCTTACAGAAAATAATTCCAGAGACAATGTCAATAATTGGGATTCCATAAGACCTTCTAATGAACTGGAAACGACTATGAACGCATATCCATCACCATCAGAAACCAGAAGCTCAAGTTATGGTGAGATGATTCTTCCAGGCTCATATTCCCATCTCTGGACTATTTTGTTACATCCAGATATAAATCTTTATTTGTTGCAGATAAAAAGAGATGTGAAAAGAGGAATGAGGCTGCATCAAAGAATGTGTCCAATGATTCCCCAATAAACATAGCTGTATATGACCAACAAATCAACACTACAGAAATTTTTGAGAAAAGACAAGATTCCAGAGGAGACCCAGACAAGAGCTCACAAAAAGGTAACACTTGATGAGATCTCTTAAAGCAATTTTGATGTTTAATTAACAAAAAAAAAGTAAAACATTATGACTTGCAAAATCTGTATGAAAGCTCTTTTTTATATAATTTTTTTTCCAAAGATATTTTATTAGAAAAAGAAAGGCATATCAAAGACCATACAACTACGGATCACAGTCCGAAAATACACACAACACGTAGCCTCCCTTTTCGCAGACGGGCCATGGCTTTAAAACTGCAATACCAATCGAGGTGGAATATAACATTATATCAAGTGTATATTGCAAACCCGCAGATACACAGAGTATAATAGATAAGTCGATATAGGTATATTGTATACTGACCCAGGTAATAGTGAGATCTTATGTTAAGTGAGTGTGGAGTGTTGGGTAAGGATAGCACATGATGGTGTGTATGTTATGATTTGTGTGTCCATATCAGGAGCCTGTGAGCTACGTGAGATAAGTCACACCTGTATGAGAGTAAATGCTCTATTTTGTTGGGGATAAATGAATAATGAGGGCATATAAAAGGTGTGAGATAAAGAGAAGACAGAAAGGAGAATTGTTAGAGAAAGAAATGTAGAGTGAGGTAGTGGGGGGGGGGGGGGGGGATATGAAAAAAGAAAAAAAAAAAAAAAGTGGGGGGTGGGTAAGGGGTATGTAGAATGGGCAATTGCAGATAAAATAGATCACATCATTTTGTACGAGCCGAGCCAGAAAGATAGTCATATAGCTTAGGATGCGATACGTGTAAGATCAGTCAATGGGGCAACACGTGGGTTAAAAACCAGGAAGGCAAGCCACGATGCAGAGTCTCAGCCCATCCAAATGTGCATCAAATGCATCTTCGGTGAACAGGGCGTTCCCTAGTACAGGATTGTGTCCAATCATTCAGTCGGGGGGTATAGGGCTGTATAGGTGGTTTTGAAATTATTCCAACAAGCCCATGTCTTCCCGAATCTCTCAGGATGTTTCTTTGCTACAGAAATCAGTTCCTCCATTTGTTGATCCTAGCAAACCATTCTTGGATAGTGGGAACATGTGTTGAGCTCCAGTGGACTGGGATACATTGTTTTGCCGTGTTTGCCATATGCATGGCGAGTGATTTATGGTACATCCTAAATGGAAGTGTGGAATGGTGGAGCAAGAATTGTGCGGGGGGAGAGGTCTAGGGTATACGTAGTTACTTGTGTGATTGTGGATTGGACTTTCCCCCAGAAAGGCTGTAGCAATGGGCATATAAATTTTAAATACATTTCTTAGGCCCCTTTCACAGTGAGGTGGTGTCGTCTGTCTGCACCGCGGCTGTAGTGTAGTGTACTCGCGTGTTTGGTGTAGGTTAGCTATGCTTTCCAATAGAGTTCTATTATATCCTGTGGCTTTGGTGTGCTTTCTGGAAGCGCACCAAAGATGCAGCATGCAGGACTGTTAGCTATTGGCTGTTAGCTGCCAAAGGGACGACATCAGAAATCATATCCTCAGCACCGGACACCTAGCTGAGAGATGTTATTATACAGATTGTGGGTGGAAAGAGGTTAAACCAAACCTACTGAAGAGAAAAAAACAACCATCCCCCTTTCCCCACTCTGTGCTAGGACCCTCTACTTTTACATTTATATTTTTATCTGTTTTTTTTTACTTTTATCATAAATTTGGTTATGAAATTCAATCTCAAAATAAGATGTCCAAAACCAATGTACATGAATGTAACTCCATAAGACATTCTAATGAATTGGAAACCACAAGGACATCATGGCCTTCAGAAGCGAAAAGCTCAAGTTATAGTCAGATGAATTATTTCTCCAGACTCATATTGCCATTTCAGGACTATTTTGTTACATCTAGATATAACTACCTCTTTGTTGCAGATAAAAAGAGATGGGGAAAGCAGAATGAAGCTGCGTCAGCAAGAAATGTGCCCAATGATTCCTCAATAAACATATACCATCAACCAATCAACACGGCAACAGATTCAAGAGGAGCGGACAAGAGCTCTCAAAGAGGTAACATTTGATGAGATGAGATTCTGATGCTTAATTAACAAAAAAAGAAGTAAAAAAGTACAACTTGCAAAATCTGCATGAAAGCTCTTTTTTTATATTCACTGTAAATGAGAGAGGGGTATTAACAAGACCTTAAATTCATAATACTAAATCCCAGTCTGCTAACAAATCCTGTTTCTCTCCCTATCCTTTCTTTACAGCAGTTTTCAATAAAGTGACATTATGGATGAAGTAAGCCCAATTTCTATAGTGAGGGTGCTGGCTTGTAAAATCCCCCCTGTTTTTGTCTGTTCTAAGCCTGCTTTGCCATAGTGTAATTATAGCAAATTATGTTTTTCAAATGCCATGGTGAATTTGAACAAAACATTTGCCAAAACCCTGAACTCTGACCCTTGAATTTGAATCCATAGATGGTTGAATTCAAACCATATCCCTAGTCCTAACCTCAAAGATATTAAAAATAAATCACATTTAATATAAAGAAGACTTATTGATAGTACTTTTTCTGTTTACAGAGTCAGAGGCTTTTACTAATCTCCTTGCACTGTTGAAGATGGAGAAAAATATATTTCTAATAAGCTGACTTTGGGGGATATTCTAGAAATTTCTGCAGAGAACAGTCAATGCAATAAACCCCAGAAGATTGAAGATGTACCCTGGTGTACTTTGAGGAAGATCATGGCTCTGGACAGTACTGCAAGGAACACTCTTCTTGACACAGAAGTGGGAGAAGAAAAATGATCCATTTAAAACTATGTTTAAAGATCCAAAAAGTGCAATACACCCCCTGGATGTGCTCTGCGGTCTCCTCCATTGTTCAGATAGTTTTCTACAACAGGAGATTATGAGCAAAATGGCCATGTGTCAGTTTTCTGTCCCTCTCGTGCTTCCTGCTGGTGATGGGTCACATTGTACCTTCATGCTGTGGGCAATGAGAGACATTGTGAAAAAGTGGAGACCTCAGTCACTAGCTGATAGTAAAGGGTTCAGAGAGGAAAATGTGGTGAATATTTCCATGCCATTAATTTCTTTTGTAAGATTGGGGAAAACCAAGCTGTCCAAATCTAAAACCCTGAATAGAGTTCTTAATCCAACCCAGCAGCATCACAACTTTTTTCATACATGATGATATGGAAGGAGGAAACCTTGAGCGAAAAATATCTGAGGGAGTTGTAGAAATGTCCTGGTATTTTCCCTCCAATAGATCTGATGTTTTTCCAGAACCCTTTACAGTGACCAACCTACGTGGCGACCTGGAGTCCAACTGGGACCAGTTCACATTTCTGAGTAAAATCTCATCAGCTGTGTTTATATTCATGGAGACAATCAGTGAGCGAGAATTCCAACTGTTATCAAAATGCAGTCAGAGTGACACCACATTTTATTTTGTTGTCACTCCAAGCAAAGCTATAGAGGAAGACACAAAAAGCATTCTTCTACGTCTATTGCCAGTATTAAATAGTGGGAAGGAGCATGTTGTCTCCAAAAGCACATCAGAGAATGATTCAAATTTCATTAAAAAAATCCAACAAAAATTTCAAAATGTTTTAAAGAAAAGCTCCAAAAATGTAATACTAGGAGATGTTCAAAAATACTTTGAAACGCATAATTTTGTGCTGAATGAAAATACACAGGAATGCCAGAGGGCAAGAGACCTTGCCAGTGAAATCACTCAAGAAATCCATGATGTAGAACAGTATAAAAGGCAAACACTGAAATTACAAGGGGATCCCTGGAAACAGTTGTCCAAAATAGAAAAAGAACTTTGCAGAATGAAAAATCAAGGAGAGGAGAATGCAGAAAAATATCAGTCTGCTCTCCTAAATAATTGCAATAACCTGCATTCAGAGCAATACAACAATCAAACTCCAAAAGGTATACAAATGTTTACAGATGCTCTTACTGATTTGTCCCAGAAAGAAAAACAATATTTTCTGAAATGGATGAAATTTAGGCTTGATGCAATTGCAAGAAACAATCTGACTGAACTTCAAAGTACATATAAGGAGAAACATACCAACATTGCAAATAGAAAAGAACTTCAGGATCAGAAACTCTCGGATAGCTCTTTAGGGATAGAACACTTTCTACGGGAACTGGCTCAGTTCTATGAAGCTGAAAGTTCTATGATAAAACAAAAACAAATTGAGAGCCATCTAAAAAAGTTTTCCAAACTTCCAGGAATAGCAGCCGATCTTCTGTTGGATGGGTTTCCCTTGGAGCTTATTGATGGAGATGCCTCCAACATCCCCCTGCAATGGATAACTGATGTTCTAACTGATTTGGACATCAAGACAGGAAACAAATGCAAAATTAGAGTGATAACAGTGCTGGGAGTGCAGAGTACGGGGAAGTCCACCCTTCTCAATACCATGTTTGGTCTTCAGTTTCCGGTGGCCAGTGGACGATGCACACGAGGGGCTTTCATGACTCTTTTAAATGTGAAAGAGGACTTCCAGGAAAAGCTGGGCTGTCATTTTATTCTGGTGATTGACACTGAGGGGTTGAAAGCTCCAGAGTTGGCCTCTTTGGAGGACAGCCATGAACATGACAATGAACTGGCCACACTAGTGGTTGGGCTGAGTGATATCACCATAGTCAATATGGCCATGGAAAACACAACAGAAATGAAGGATATTTTACAGATTGTGGTCCATGCTTTTCTTAGAATGAAAGAAATTGGGAAGAAGCCCAACTGCCAGTTTGTACACCAGAATGTGAGTGATGTATCGGCTCCTGATAAAAACATGAGAGACAGGAAGAAACTTCTGGAACAGTTGAATGAGATAACAAAGATGGCTGCCGATATGGAGAAAAAAAAAGAGATTTCAGGTTTCACTGATGTGATGAAGTACGATCTTGAGAAGGACAATTGGTACATTCCTGGCCTGTGGCAGGGAGACCCACCAATGGCTCCAGTAAATCTTGGCTACAGCTCAAATGTACATGAGCTTAAAATGTATTTGTTTGAATGTATAAAACTACAGGAATCTGTTAACCAACCACATAGCATCTCTGACTTTATTACTTGGATAGAAAGTTTATGGCGATCTGTGAAACACGAGAAATTCATCTTCAGTTTTAGAAACAGCCTGGTGGCCAAAGCCTACAATAAATTGTCTGTACAATACTCCTCGTGGGAATGGGATTTCTGTAAAACAATTCACAATTGGGTGATCAGTGAAGAAAATAACATTAGTAATCAGTTTGAAGAAATATGTGAAAGTAACACAGAAGAGCTTCAGAGAATTCTTCTGGAGGAAGAAAACAAAAATGATTGCATCACTAGAAAAATATTTTGAAAACAACGAAAATACTAATCTCATTGAAAGACACAGAGAAGACTTCAAAATAAGTATAAAAAGCCTGAAGAGAAAACTTAAAACAGATGCTTCTAGCAAGTGCCATGAGGCTGTTTCTATCCAGAAAGGGAAAATAAAAATCCAGGACATTCAGAAAAAATCCCAGACGTTGATTGAGGATAGAATAACAAATCTTCTGCAAAGATATAGACAGAGTAATAGTGAAGTAAGCGAACCAGAAATTCAACAAGAATTTGAGTTGATGTGGGAGAAGACATTATCAGATTTGCAGTTGGAAGAACTTAGGAGATGCGATGTGCATCATTCTCTTTCTTCATCTCCTCAAAAATGACATGAGCAACAAAGGACCTCATATAAATGAAGCATTAAATAAGATTAGTGATTTACATAATTATGCAAGACAAGGTATCACGGTTTGGACAGATGATGAAAAGCACTTTGATCACTCCATTAAATCAGTTTTCAGCAATCTAAAATTCAAGCAAGAACAGATTAAGAAGGTTAGCGATCTTGCTGCTTCAATAATTCAGACCAGCGATGAGTATATAAAAGAGAAGACGTCTTGCAGAGATGATTACAATGAAATGTTCTCCAAGGAACTTCTACACAAGATAAATAATATGCTTAATGATGAAAATGTGAAAAAGCTTAACTTTACAGTACAATTTGAACTGGATATCAAACTTTTCATTTTTGGAAAAGCATCTCAAGACTTCCAGAAGTTACATGACAAGTTCATCCATGAGAATGACCCGAAACTTCGCCTGGAAAATCTAAAGCCTCAATACTGGTCTATGTTTCTCAGTATTTTTCATGAAAAAGATGAATGTCAAAAGAGAGCGAGCCAATTGTGTGAGCTGTGCTTGAAACCAGCAATAATGGATTATATTTTTTTAAACATCTTGGACAAAAAATAGTGGATGAGATTTTAACTGAAAATGACACATTTAGCAGCAGAAGTTTTTTCCAGTGTACGATTTTAGAGGAGCTTCTAGAAGACATGTCATTCCAAAGGTATGTTGAATACATCAGGTCTTATGAGGACTTTACAAAACTATGGATTTCAACTTACATCACAAACAAATATGGTAGAGGGCGAGCTTTAGAAACCTTGCAGGAGCATATTCTGTCATCCATTGATAAGAAAATAACAAAAGCTCTTACAAATGAAAAATGTCTGAAGGAAAACTCTGTGTCAAGTTTTTTGAAACAGTTCTGTGAATTGTTAAAAAACAGATTTGGTGATCCCAGAGAAAGAGATGAAAGTCATCACATTTCAAAACTCAGGGAATGTTAAGCAGTTCTCAGCAGAAATCAAATACTTCCTCATAGATACACAACAACAAATCCAATCAGAATTAAGATCTTTGGATATTCAGTCTATACTTTCCAGGGTGGTATTGAAGCCTCAGGATGAATTGTTCAGGAAGGTGGTTGGATGTGGCAAGCAGTGTCCTTTCTGTGGTGTCCCCTGTGAGGCTGGAGGGAGTGATCATACGAATCACGCAGCTTCCATTCACAGACCTCGAGGATTGGGATGTTTTGAAGAAAGTAAGAAGCTGATCGTTGATATCTGTTCTACTCTTGTTGTATCTAACTCAACTTTTAGAAAACACAGACACAGAATTGAAAAATTGTCCATATAACGAGTATCGCACATTTTATCCAGACTGGGCCATTCAGCCTGACCCCAGCACTGAGTCCTCAGATTACTGGAAGTTCATCTTCGTAAAGTATAATCAACAGTTTGCAGACAAGTATGGAGCATTACCAGCTGATCTGCCGGATGTTTGGAAGAGAATCACCAGAGAGCAAGCACTTCAAAGCCTGAAAAAAGTCTTTAATGTGAGTTGATCACCCTATAATAATCCATAGTACAGAGATCATTACAAATCGCATTTCATTGGGAACAAATGATGATTCACAATATTTTTACTGCCCAAAAGGTTTGCTGCTTAAATAATGCCATACCAATCAAAATGTTATACCGTGTATAAAATGTGAGAAGAACTCTATGGGATTTATTATCTTTATCTGCCAAGGAATTTACATGCCTTGTTGTACAGGTGACTCCACATTTAAAATACTATCGATGGTATACATATTTCTTGCTGCACTATATCCAAACAATAATACTCTATTATAGAAAGCATTATATTTCCGGCCACTCCTGTACCAGTCAGGATGGATTCATGTAGAGCCGCTCTATTTCAAATTGTTTTAGGCTTTTGTTTGATTGAACTTGAATTTTGAGTCATTGTGATTACTGCTGATTTAATGAGAGATTGTTGACTTGCAATGTAATTGCTGTAATTGATGGGTCTGCTGCAACATGTTTGTTATGACTGGTATATGCCCTTTGATTTTAAATGTAACTTTTTGGTTTGATGGAAATAAAAAGATGAAATCCTATGAGCAATTGTTTTCTGTGTATTTATACTAACTGCCTACAATTAAAACGTGATGGGTCTGTTTATGACTTTTTTTCCCAATGTTTACACAAATTCACATTTTTCTAATTCGATTCAATTAAAACATTTGAAAACATTTATAAATGGACCGTCAGTGTGGTATTCTCTGTGTGGGTGTTATATTTACTGACGTGAGCAGTCATACACCCAATAATTGCTGGTGACAAACCCACCTTTGCTGAGAAATGAACAGGAATGAGTGAAATGAATGGTCATTTTGTTTGTTGATTTGGTGGACATCAGTGAAGTCAATACAAAAGGTAAAGGTAAGGTGCATTTTGATGGTTTTAACCACTTGCCTACGGGGCACTTTCACCCCTTTCCTGACCAGGCCAATTTTCAGCTTTCAGCGTTCTCACACTTTGAATGACAATTGCGCGGTCACACAACACTGTACCCAAACTACATTTTTTACCATTTTTTTGAGACAGATAGAGCTTTCTTTTGCTGGTATTTAATCACCTCTGGGGTTTTTATTTTTTGCTAAACAAAACAAACAGTTTGAAAAAAAGTTTTTCTTAGATTCTGTTATAAAGTTTTGTAAATAATTAATTTTTCTCCTTCACTGATGGGCACTGATAGGCTGCACTGATGGGCACTGAAAGGCTGCACTGATGGGCACTGATGAGGAGTCACTTATGGGCACTGCTGAGGAGTCACTGATGGGCCCTGATAGGCTGCACTGATAGGCGGCACTGATGGGCATTGTTAGGTGGCACTGATGGGCACTTTTAGGTGGCACTGATGGGCAGCACTGATGGGTTCTGTTAGGCGGCACTGATGGTCACTGATAGGTGGCACTGATGGGCACTGATGAGGATGCACTGTTTGGCGGCACTGATGGGCATTGTTAGGCGGCACTGATGGGCACTGTTAGGTGGCACTAATGGGCAGCACTGATGGGTTCTGTTAGGCAGCACTGATGGGCACTGATATGTGACACTGATGAGCACTGTTATGCAGTACTGATGGACATTGATAGGTGGCACTATTGGGTACTGTTAGGCGGCACTGATGGGCACAGATTCAACTGATGGGCACTGATTCAACTGGTGGGAACTGATTGCCAGCACACATGGACACTGATGGGCACTAATGACCGCACTGATGGGGCTACACTGATCACCGGGACACTGATGATCAGTGCCCTGATGATAAGTGTAGCTGTCCCCCTGCGAAATGCCACTTACCGCCTCTCCTCTCCTCACGCGCTGTCAGCATGAGGACAGGACTGCCAATAACTGCCATTTCTTATTTACCCTGTGATCAGCTGTGATTGGACACAGGTGATAACATGCTAAAATTGTGATTTGGCCTTTTCCTTGGTCATGTGAACAGCTGTGTCCAACAGACAGAGCGATCAAAGATCATGCGCAGTGCGCACCCCAGGGGGCCCGCGAGGAGTATGGTTCTGGGTGGATGTTCATGGATGCCCTCCCAGAACTAGCCAACCGCACTGTAGCCGTCTTTTGGCTATAGCGCAATTAGGAACTGGTTAAAGGGTGCAATGCTGACTCCTGAGGTTTACAGAAAATCCTATAAGCTAATTATAAAACTTGATCTTGTGCCAATCAAATACACATAATAAAAGAGAAAAAAACATAAAATACAAAGCACACTAAGGTGCCTGTTTATAAATATCTTCATCCAAGAGTCTCACAACTTTCGCCAAAGATTCCTGCAATTTTCTATTTGGATTAAATTGGAAAATATTGAAAATCCTGAGTAAACGTTGTATGGATTTAAGGTGAACAAAAGTATAAATAAGCCCCTAAATTAAACAAACTAAGCAATTTTTAACTAAACTCAACCTCCCCAAAAACACTATCTATATACCGGTAAAAAAAATGAAAGAAGAGTAGATTTCCTCCTTGAAATTTCCCCAAAGCAGAAATCTAGGTATTTTTATATTAAGAGAATTTTTGTTAGAGGATACATGCAAACTCACAGTATATATGAGGTTAACATCAATGAAGTACCGTGAAAACACAACAACTAATAAAAAAGACTGACATATTTTTAGTCTGTCACTTGTGTAGCTATTTTTGTACAATACAGTTCTATTTGTACCTCAACCCCATAGAACACCTTTGGGATGAATTAGAGCGGAGACTGTGAGCCAGGCCTCCTCCCCCGACATCAGTGCCTGACCTGACAAATGTGCTTCTGGAAGAATGGTCCAACCTTCCCATAGACACCCTCCTAAACCTTGTGGAGAGGCCTTCCCAGAAGAGTTGAAGCTGTTATAGCTGCAAAGGGCGGGACCAACTCAATATTGACCCCTACGGACTAAGACTGGGGGGCCATTAAAGGTCATGTGTGGAAAGGGCAGGGCCAACTCAATATTGAACCCTACGGACTAAGACTGGGGGCCATTAAAGGTCATGTGCGTGGAAAGGGCGGGGCCAACTCAATATTGAATCCTATGGACTAAGACTGGGGGCCATTAAAGGTCATGTGTGGAAAGGGCGGGGCCAACTCAATATTGAACCCTACGGACTAAGACTG